ACTCATCACTGGTTCAAGTAGCTACAGTACCTGTACCTGTACATCTGACACTGATCACACCCTTGAATCCCATGAAATCAATGCTGCGCAGATGAATTGCGTGTATTACAATTATCGTCTAACATCATTGCGTCTGATAAATTGGTCTTCTTTGTCATAACGTTATATATGCTACAATAAAGCTTAAAGCTGACGCCACAATTAAATCATATCAACACCAAACTGAATAAAATCATCCTGATATTGAGCTGTGTTAGAAATTAACAGCTGCACAAAAATATAGCAAGTGTCCCTCTTTAAAAAACAAAAAGGAAAATCCCTCAAACACCATGAAGTGTAGACATGATAGGCTACTTTCCACATTTCCAGCAGCAAAGCTGTCAATTAGGCCCATTATCTTTAACAGGGATCATTTCCTCCAACAAAACAAAGTGTTGGCACTAATTAATGGTGCTATTAAGTGTCCGCAAATGATCAGTTTCTTTCTTATGAAGGGGTGGGATGAAAGTTCCACTTCTTTCCACTCCTTTTTGAACAATCTTTTCATTGTGTGTTGTTGCTTTCTTTTCTTTTTTTAATGTTCAAAATAAACTTTCAAATCAGAATCAATCAAATGAATTAAACTTCCCGTCATGACTGGGCTGCATTTCTGTCAGCGGAGTCATTTTTTCTGAACAGCTGATTGGCCAGTGGGTGGTGCTTTTTATAGGATCAGATTCAACCCTGAACTTACCCTGCTCCGGAGCAGGATAGCCGTTCAGAGTAAGTTACCATGGTGATCTACCCCGATAAGAACTGAACCGGCTTCGTGAGACCAAAAACCCAGGGTTAACCCTGAAGTTACCTCGCTAAGACATTAATCCTGCTTCGTGATACAGGCCCCTGCTGGCTCACCTGAGGCTGAGCGTGTTGCAGGAAGGAGAGACATGGCGTGTCCTTCAGTGAATGAAGTCGTGGACATTGGGTCCCAGTTTATACAGAGGCTGCTGTGTAAGGAGAAGGTGAATAGAGCCCGTTTGGATGTCTCCCTGGAGGAGTGTCTCTATGACAATTTCACCTCACAGTCTTTTATTTATCTTAACAATCTGTTCCACCCAGATATATCAAATATTACACATCGTGGATTTACATTATCATCAGAGCAAATTTTATGCATTGTCCTTTGATTCTTCGGCAGTTTTCTTTATAACATCAGAGACCCTGAACACATCAGAGAGACAGAGGTTTGTTGGGCCGTAAGAAAAGAAATCACAATCGATTATCAAAGTATTTGCAGCGGAGCATCGGTGGCTTAGTGGATGGAGCGGACGCCCCGTGATCAGAAGCCCAGCGCCTGATGCAGCGGCAGCGGGTTCAGACCCATCCTGCAGCCTCTCACTGCTCGTCGTTCCCTCTCTCCCTCAACATGATGCTGTTCTGCCATTAAAGGCGACAAAAGCCCCGGAAATAATCTTAAAAAAGAGGAATTCCGAAGAACTGCAGGTTTGTCAGTGTTAATCAGAAATTAATCTACGTTACATGATGCAGTGATTCATGAATACTTTTCATATATTCAAAGATTCCGCGGTGTAACTGGCTCATTTACGGGACTCAACATCCCAAGCTGAGCATAAAGGAGATTACATGAATCAGAAGTCATTTCACAGCAGTTCAGTGAACCTCAGCCTAATATTGACAGAATGAGGAAAGTATAAGCAAAACTTTTACCAGTGTGTACAACATGTTTGTGTTTGATGTTGAGTCACTGCCCAGTGTGTTTGGGCTCCATCAGATTACAGCTGAATAAGATGATACAGCAGATGATATTAAAATATATGAACTCTGTAATGTTTCTGTATTTTCTGTATATTAGACACATTAACTCATCACATTACATAACATAACTTCACATTACCTATTAACACACTCTGCAGTCTGCTCCCATCACACATCACGCTGTTCAGCTACAGCTGACGTGTTAGTGTTTATTTTTGTTCATTTCACGGTCATTAAAATCTGCGACTCAGCTGGGATGAAACAAACGGCTTTCTGCTTTCGGCCACTGAATATCACGTTATCTGCACTCCACTGATGATGTCTTTCGGCGCTCACCGTGAACGCGCCTCTCTCAGGCTGAACATACTCAGGGTGGATTGAGCTGATTCTGATCAGGTGTTCTGGAACTGACAACTCAGAGTTTCTCAGCTCAGGCTCAGTCAACCCGGAGATCGGGATCAGGCTCAGAGTTTGTTGAGCCTGCTTCCTGAAATAGGGCCCTGGACACATTTTCCCTCCTTTTTCATTAACTATTTAAAGCTATGTCTATTTGACAGTGTGATCCTAAATTAACACAAGCACTGCAATCTTGCAAGGAAAAAAAAAAAGTTTTTAATAGGCTATAAATCGCGGGCATTTGCAACTGGAAAATGATATTATCCATATACTTTTTTAACGAACAATATTCTATCCTACTGGCGAGCTTCCTCGTTAGCGTAGCCAACCTGGTTAGCAAGCTAACTCACTAACCCTGCCGCAGATTATGTGCTTATTGTTAATTGTTACTGAGGATTTTGTTTAATTGTACTAACTTCACTTTGGAAAACTAGCTTAGCTCTGAAGAAGCATAGTGATGATGTCAGAGGGCTGTGATTGGTTATTGCAATGTTGGTCCAGGAACGTGATGTTGATCCAGTGATGTTGTTGTTCAGCACTTGCACGTGTGAGATGTGACATTTGGTCTTTGTGGTATTTGTCCCTTCTTCACTGTGACTGAACAGCTGGGTAAAAAGTGAGAGTGACAAGTGCAGCGTTTTACCCAAACTTTCACATTTTTCAACTCTCTGCAACCAGACCTGCCCTTTGTAAGTCAACATCAGTACTCAGTGGTCCCATTGCAAAGAATTAAATAAACTAGTCCATAGCCATTGGTAGCTTTGTCACCTTCTACCTATGCCAGTCCTCAATGCCTATGTGCAGTTTCACATAGATTGACCACGTCAGTGAGTAGAAAAACGTGGGACAGACAGAATGACTGACTGATAGAATGACACACTGACAGTTTCCGTGATTATGTACAGCATACCATACCATGACTTAGTCATATCAAACATTAGAAAACAACACCAACATTGGTCCACAGGGGGAGCCACAGCGATCGGTCGCATTTTAGCCATTTTGAAGCATTTTTCTGTTGTTATAGCGCCACCCAGTTGCCAATTAGAGTTAAATCTCTCCAGTCACCTTGAGGCGTCCTGTTCTACATATCTACCAAGTTTAGTAAAAATCCATATGGCGGTTAGGCCTAGATAAGAAATGAGCTCTCTAGCGCCCCCATTTTGTTTGATGGGGTCAATAATGGAGGGGTCCCCTCAGATTATGTGTGGTCATATGCCTACAAAGTTGCGTGGTGATGGGTGAAACCCTTGAGATGTTATACACCTTTATGTGATGAGCCACGCCCTCCGCAATATTCATTGCCTTATAGAAGCTCAGTTTTAGTAAGTTTTCCAACTTTTGCCAAGAGGGAACTTTAGATATTGGTCCCTAGATTATGTTCACCCAGTTTCATGCAGATCGCTCAAACTTCCTAGGAAGAGATCCATTTGAAGTGTTTTTCAAAAAATTCAAAATGGCGGAAAATCTATATAAGCGGAAGTTATGGGTTCTTGAGGCAAATGTGTTCCTCATGAGGAGAGGCATCTCTGTGCAAAGTTTCATGTCTCTACCACATACGGGGCATGAGATATGGCCATTCAAAGTTTGACATTTCAATGGGTTGCTATAGCGCCCCCCTTTGGCCAATTGATGTAATATTGCTTCATTGGCATCCTCCCATGACCCTCTACCACTGTGCCAAATTTCACATGGATTGACCAAGTCAGTGAGGAGAAAAACATGGAACAGACACACACACACACAGAGTTTCATCATTATATAGTAAGATATGACGGCCTCAGGAAAAAAATGTTTTGGTGGAAACAGCCTCTTAATTAAAAGCTTAATTAAAAGTGGAAGTTACAAATAAAAGAGCCATAACTTTTCACAGGATGTCTCAAGTAAAAATAGATTTTAGCGTGAATGTTACTCATGCAGACCCATGCCTGTTCACCTGCTGGTCATGGGAGAGTAACCGTGGGGTTGAAGTTACTGCAGAGGGAAAGTAACAGTAGAGTACAGAGGTGATGAAGCGTCTTTGTGGCTGGCATCAGAGTTCGCCGTCAGCTGAAGCACAGAGTAGATGCCATCATTGGCGTTAGCACGGGTTGTTCTGTTGAGTGAGGCGGTGGAAACTCTGGAAAACTCCACCACAGAGTAGCTGAGTTTACTCGAGTCGTCCGCAGCAGCCTGGAAGAAGAAAAACAGTCAGGTTTGTTTCTACTGGACTGTTGAGTCTCACATCAGGACCATAATCTGTTGTCATAACCAGCAGAGCCCCAAAGACTGTGCACACAAGTTAAACATTTAATATCAATAATAAATGTTTAAGTGTCTCTACTGCTGTCTCTATAGTCTATCACCAGGACAGCCACATGAAGTCATGTCTGCTCCTGTGCTCAGCTGGTTTGTCAGATGGATCTCACAACAGTGTGTGTGCTGCTTTCTGTAAACTGTTTGCAAGGTTTTATCTCCAGATCTCCAGTTTGATACTGAAATTAATTTCTTAATCTTGGTACCAGACTTCTTCCTCCCTGTCACTGTCTTTAAACACAGTCTGTAGACTTCCTCTTTGAAACAACGGAAGCTTGTGGTTTGACAAATGATCACAAACTGGACAGGTTCCTGTTTCTTTTAAGACAAAAGGTTACTTTATTCTCTCCTTATGCACAAAACACACTTAAATCACACATCAGATCTTAGTGAACGTATTACTCAATTTAAAAATCTTGACTCATGTACAGTGTATAATTTCTTGAGAACAAAATGACATAACAACGGTCAAAGTAAAAAATTGAAATCACAGACTGATCCAACTCATCATGTGACTCAGTAGTGTGTACGGCCCCCGCCTGCCTGTATGACCTCCTGACAATGTCTAGGCATGTGTCCTCCCAGACCTGGATCAGGGCTTCACTGAGCTCCTGGACAGTCTGTGGTGGTACTTGGCAGCGTCAAATATACTGATACATAACGTCCCAAAGGTGCTCAGTTGGATTTAGGTCAGGGACACGAGACGGCCAGTCAATGACATCAATGCCTTCATCATCCAGGAACTGCCTACACATTCTGGACACATGAGGCCGGGTCCTGCACCAGGAAGAACCCAGGGCCCTCTGCACCAGGAGGAACCCAGGGCCCTCTGCACCAGGAAGAACCCAGGGCCCTCTGCACCAGGAGGAACCCAGGGCCCTCTGCACCAGGAAGAACCCAGGGCCCTCTGCACCAGGAGGAACCCAGGGCCCTCTGCACCAGGAGGAACCCAGGGCCCTCTGCACCAGCGTAAGGTCTAACAGTCGCTCTGAGGATTTCATCCTGGTACCTAACAGCAGTCAGGGTACTGTTGGCTGTGACATGGAGGTCTGTGTGACCCTCCAAGGATCTGCCTCCCCAGACCATCACTGACCCACCACCAAACCGGTCATGCTGGATGATGTCACAGGCAGCATAACGCTCACCACGGCATCTCCAGACTCTTTCACGCCTGTCACATGTGCTCAGTGTGAACCTGCTCTCATCTGAAGAGAACAGGGCGCTGATGGTGGACCTGCCAGTTCTGGTGTTCTCTGGTGAATGATGGAGCTGCACGGTGCTGGGCTGTGAGCACAGGTCCCACTAGAGGACGCTGGGCTCTCATGCCACCCTCATGGAGCCTGTTTCTGACAGTGTGGTCAGTAGTGTATCATACAGCTGCGAGGGGTTTGCTGACGGCAAGATCCACTGATGACACTGCAGGATTTAACGACTTGGGAGTGAGAATGGGCTGACGATACGCATGTACAGAGCAAGTAACCTTATTACATTTTTTATTTGACAGGGACAGTGCACAGTTTCTTGGCTGTACCACAGTTAACTACAATATGAGCTAATTCATCTCATTAGTCCCTGGGCAGGAAGCAGAGACAACATCTCAGTGCGATAAAACTTAACAGAGAGAAAGTCTTTAGAGGAGCGACAACATGCTACAGCAAGCAGCTGATTCAAATTTGGGCAAATCTGTGTACCTTTTTGGAGTAAAATAACGTGAACTCTCTTTAAATCTGAAACCTAAACTGCCGTACATCAACCGTCACCAAAATCAAAAGTAAAACTTGGTAGTTTGAAAATACATTTCTAAGAACGTCGACACTCTTTCCTGTAATCAGCCTCTGCAAAAACAAAACAAAAACAAAAAATACATTTCCTCTGTTGTACGGTGAAGCATATATGTCTCAGGCCACATAAGAAAGCCTGCGTCCAAACTCAACAGAGAATACAACCAGTAAAAAGCAATTTTTTAACTGCATCTTTGGATCTGGCAGTTTGTCCTTACTTTGTGTTGAGAACCAGCTGCAGTGGGACAGTTGCTATAGTTGACATAACCGTAAATTGAGGAGATTTCCACAGGAGGGGGGGGTCTGCTCTGTCTGTCCTCACTGGTGTCCTCATCCTCTCGGTTGGTCTGCAGCAGAGGAGTTTGTATCAACACCAGCTGGTTTCATTCACACTGACGATGCTCAGATGTGTCTAATTAACTACAACTCACCTCTGAGACAGTGGCGTTCTGTGTTTCCACAGGTGGCTCTGAAAGACAAATGTTCAGTGGAATGCTAGTTAGACTCATCTCATGTATCTGTGTCGTGTCACACAGGAAACACACACGAGATAACAGAACCATCACATACTGAACACTGAGGCCGTCTGATAGTTGACTTTCTGCACAAATTTCAGCCAGAATCATCTAACTGGGGAAAAGACAGTGGTCACGAGCTGACATGTCTTGAGATGGTGTGGAGCAGCTGAGTATAGAGTTCCTCTGGTGTATTAATGTATCTCTCTTTTCCACCAAAATGAGTGTGCGTGTACAGGTTTTTCAAACATGAGAAAACCCACTTAAAAGAGGCTACAGACTCTTTTCCCATTTCCAGTAGACCAGAGCTGTGTATGAGTATGCCTTTCTTTTACCTGTATATCACGGTCAACGTCACGGACTGGCCTGAAAACAAGTAAGTAAACAGCAGAGAGCAGCATGGAGGCCAGTGAAAATGTAATGGTGGTTACTTCTTTTTTAAATCTCTTATTCAGTCTCTCTTAACCTTGGTGTAAACTAAATTAGGATCGATGTTCGAACGCTGCGTGGGTGGAGATAGACGGCATGTTTTTTTGCAAAGGGGCTAAAATTAGTCCATTTACCTGGGTGTTGTATTTCCATCGAAGCTGAGCGGAGCCAGAGCCGATAAATACCTGTGACTACTGCAGAGTCATTTGACCTGGGAGTGAATGCTGACTGTAACCTTTCTTTTTACATTAAAAAGCCAGATGTTAGCGGGGGTTAGTGGGTTTTTTGAGCGTGAGTGAAAAAGTGGCTAGAGAATGTGAATCTATGTGAAAACTAGCAGAGAGCCAACTACCAGGTGAAAATTATTTCATTATAAGTGTAAAATGGCTCAGCTGTTTGTGTGTGTGTGTGTGTGTGTGTGTGTGTGTGTGTGTTCCCTGTTGCCTTACCTTTGGGTTTACTGGCCCTCCTCCTGCAGCGGAAAAACAGCACAGCCAGAGATAACAGAACAATTTTGACAACCAGAGCCACGCCCACAGACAGCAGCCTCCCTGTGGTAGGTTACACATACATATACAGCAAATGCAATGCATGCAAATACAGACCTATACACACTCAGTTCACAGATTTAAGCAGGAAAGTGCACTCAGCAGAGTGCAGATCTCTGCCGGGTTGCTGCCAAAGCTGACTGCAAGCACTACAGACAATTATGATTCCAGCAGAAACACTGCAGTGCATTCTAGAAACTTAGACTAGCTTGCCATGGAAAGAAAGATGAGAGTCAGCCTTCAATGTCCATGTTTGTATCCTTAAAAAAAATGTCGGGTTTAAACCAGGCTCGGGCTCGTAATTACAGTTAAAGGGATGGGCTCAGACAGAACATGCACGGGCTCGGGTGGAGTCGGACTGGATCTTTTGGGCCCGATCTAAGCTCTAGTCCACAATCGGCCCCCTTTGCTCCTTGGCCTGGCAACAGAAGTCCTGAAATTTCCAGGTTAGCGATTAGCTTACATTAGCTATGAAGTATTACATTTAATTGCACTCCACCCCCATTTTGTAGCAAAAACGCCTAAAATGACATACCCAAATTAAAATGACTGTAGCTTCTGAACCGCTCTGACTACATGCATGCATGAGGTCTTGCCAGAAAGAAAACTCTCTGAAGTTTCTTGTGAAAGTGAAACACTCTAGGTGATACAGAGACAGAGTAATGGGCCTCTGAAGTCAATAAAAAGTTGAAGATTTTTTCAGGATGAATAACTGTCTGTGGCTTCGTCTGAGCAGGTAAATGACACTGCTCTCCTACAGCCAGAAACAAGCGATGTAAGTTTCTTACTTGTGATGTCACAGGGTTTAAAGTGTGGAGCTGCTCCAGAGACAGTGAATGGGAGCCTGATTTTGTGGACCCACAGAATGTTTTCTTAATTAAACCCCAAATGATCTTTATTCTATTGAAGAGTTCTCAGTTCTGAAACAGTAAATGTACGCATTTAGGGCTGGATCTACTGAGATCCCAATTTGTGTGTACTAATTTGCCTGCGCAATCAAGAATTTTGCGTGTGGGGCTGAACCGCAGTTTGCGGGTGATTTACTAAGAGTGATTGCGTAAATGACAAGAGGTGCAAACATGTTGGAGACACCCTATTTAAATGAGGGTTTTGCGGGTTTCATGGTTTGCAGCATGGCGAGTTTGGAGAGAAAGCGCAAAGTGAAATTTGACCCTATGGAATGAGAGGTGTTGGTAGATGAGGCCAATAAACACTGAAATGAGCTACAGCAAAGAAACCTGACTGTCTCACAAAGGAACGCTAAATGGGAAGAAATCTGTGAAAAAGTAAATGCTGTTGGTAAAAAAAACAGCCAGGGACCGGAGAGGGAGGAGAGGTGCGCACGGCGGGCAAGTTCCACCTGCGTAAAAGGAAACACAAATAATACACTCAACTGTCACGTTTAAGTTTTCTTATACTGGCTATGAATATTCATTTTGTGTAAAATAGGCTATACGATAAAGAACTGTTAAGTTTTGTTTTTTGCTACGATAAATGTTAGACCTATAGCCTGATATATTTTGTGACTGAAATGTGTCTTTAGTATGATGTTGCGTGGCTTAACATAATTAGACATTAATGAGACTGAGTATTTCCTTTGATAATAATGTTTGGAATCTAAAAAGTGATTTCAATCATCTTTTTTCAGTACATGTTGATTTGGTTAACTTTGCAATGCTCTTACCCAATTTTATTGGGTCACACTAGCACTCGTATTCTAATCTACAGCATTATGTTTAACACTAGAACCTCCACGACGGTCTGTTTGGGTTTTTATAATGCAAATAACTCTGTTCAGATAAAACCTATAAGCTTCTCTTCCTATGACTTTTCCTAAAAATGTGTCTTGTATGTTTTCTGAAGCCTTTAAGTTACAAAAATGAAACACACTAGACTTCTGAGCGTTTATATCTCCGACCGCTGCCGAAAATTATACATTTTGATACGTACAGGTAGGCTATATACATATTGCAAAACTCTGTAAAAGTACACCAAAGCATACATTTTCGTTTCCAAATATTTATTTGAAAACAAAACCATTCATACAGTCAGTAAAAAAACATTTTGTTAATAATAAAAAACGCATGTAATCTCAACAGTGACTGTGCCAGCCGGCGGGACTGCAGCTGAACCGCTTCCAGTGTTCATTCTTTCATTCAATCGCGAGTTCAGTGTGTGTGTGTGTGTGTGTGTGTGTGTTAGTATGTCAGAGAGGAGGAGTTCTCCTCCGGCATGGCATTCTGCTCCAGCCTGTGTTGCTTGCTTCACACAAAACGCAAAATTGCTTTCAGGTTTGATAAATCACGGTGCATGTGCTAAATTAATATATTTACATTTTCTCCTCTCAGCACATGCACAATTGTGTGTAAACGCCCCATATTGCATATTCATTGCAGCAAACGTACTAACTGGATGCAGACGCGCTATTTTGCACCTTGAGAGACGCAACCCTTAGTGCGCACTGTTAGTAAATCAGTTTGTACATTTTTTTGCGCGTGCAATGAGTTTGCACACGTTTGTATACACGCAAACCTTTAGCAGATCCGGCCCATAGTCAGAACGTTGCCCTGGCTGCTCTCACTGTCATCTAAAACACTTTTTTCCAACTACTTGTCTGTGGAGCAGCTCCCGACTTTATGTGACATCACAAATTTGAGTTTCAGCATTCTAGCTTTTGGGTTTGGGAGGGAGACCATAAGGATAACATGTCTGAGTTTTGAAAATGGGTGTAGCTCCCCTTTAACATCCTGTATGTAAGAGTCATGACAGATTGTTGTTCAGCTCTCTTTACATGTGCAGAGGGTCCAAAATCCTGCACAATTATCTGCTCTTTTTACTGAATCTGTTTAACCTTAATCTCTCGTCAGCATCTCATAGTGAAGTGTGAAGATTTGTGTGCACTCCAAAAAGTCGTCCAAGGTCTCAACTCAGCTGTGACTGGAGCATTTAGAGGAACTCTTAAACTGTAAACGTACCTAAATGTTTTTTACTCTCAGTCTGCTGCAGCCCAGACTGGGTGGTGGTTTCAGGGGAAGTTGACAAAGGTGTGAAACTTCCTAAAGTGGAGCTGAGGGTCCAGTCTGGTTCTGAAGTGTCTGAAGCTGTGAACAACAAAGACACAATGAAAGACGATGAGCAGCTTTTACACACAATGAGAGAAGCGAGGAAACATGAATGCTTCACACACACACCTTGGGCAGCAGAGGTCTTTTTTCTGTTCCAGGCTTAAAACTAAAGGGAGAGTCAGTGATCTCTTTTTAGTCCCTTCTTAAAAAATACTTTTATTGGAGAGCCTTTCCTGATTTTAACTGAGTTTTAAGTTCATTTAAACTGTTTTTTATTCCCTCAGAAACACTGAAGTGTTTTTATCAGTTCTTTTAAAAGTTGTTGTTTTCATGTCTTTTCAGTTTTAATCGCTGACATGTAAAACACCTTGTTACTCTGTTTGAAAAGCGCTTTATGAATAAAGATTATAATTATTATACAAATTTGGTTGCATTGTTTTTCATAGGAAAACTCCAGCCTGCACAGTCAGTGTGTGTATTCTTGAGTTGTGGCCAAAAAACACGTTTTGTGAGGTCACACAGACCTCAACCTTTGACCATGAAAATCTAATCAGTTCATCTTTGAGTCCAGGTGGACGTTTGAGCCAAATTTGAGGAAATTAATTCAAGGCCTTCTTAAGATATCGCATTCACAAGAATGAGACGGACCAGGGGTCTCATCTATGAAACAGAGTGTAGGATCCACACTAAGAATGAACGTATGGACCAGAGCATGTGAGCGGAGCGGGAGGATTTTGTGTTGAGCAAGGAGCGGCTATTTTTTTAAAAGGTGGAGCGGAGCCTTATCTCTCTCTCCAATTTCGCTCCGGTCGCTCATGCCCCTCCCAGAATGTTCTCCCAGAGAACACTATTTTCTTTCAAAACTATGTAGTTTACTGTGTACTTCAGAAAAGAAACTGAGAAGAGAAGCAGCGGTACCTCGGAGAACGGTCCCCAACTGCGGGGAGAGGCGAGAGGGCTTCCCCGGAGGTCAGCCGCTTAACCTGGTCCGTCTCCTCTACACTTTGACTTATTTCCACCCTGCCAGCGGTACCGTGGAGAACGGTCCCTAACTGCGGGGAGAGGGCTTCCCCGGAGAATCTACCAAGCTCATGTTTTATTTGTGAATAGAAGATTACAGGATAGGGTAGTACGACGCAGTTTTTTTGAGTGGAGTGGTGAGCGAGTGGAGCGGGATAAAATTTATGATGGAGCGGAGCGAAGAATGCGCAGAACCAAGCGGCGTGGACAAGCGGCGCAAAGTGACAGGTCTGCGAGCAAGGAGCGGAAATTTTCACCTGCTCCACTCACATGCTCTGGTGTGGACAAAAGCCGAAAATGGAGTGTGCCAAAAAATATTTGACAGTTTCTACAATCAGGCTTCCACCTCATCATTTGTGTCGCTAAATTCCCAACTCCAAAATGTTCATTAGCATAAAGTCAAAGTTTTTCAATCAAGTCTGTTTTAACAGATCACAAGTCTTGCATGGGAAGTGGCGTACACTTCTTTCAGGCCTTGTTTTAAGCGTACACAATGTTTATAAATGAGATCCCAGGTCACACTGACCTTGACCTTTGACCGTCAATATCTAATCAGTTCATTGTTGACTCCAATTTGCCTTAAGACGTTCTTCAGATGTCATGGTCACGAGAATGGGATGAACATACGGATGGAAAACATAATGCCTCTGGCCACTGCTATCGCCGGCAAAGAGGCATTAAAAGAATGCTTGAAGCAGTAGGTAAACGGTAGTGTGTCTGTGTCGCAGCTTCAGTTTATCAGGTATTTATTTTTCAGTTGGAACTGGTGGTTTTAAGTGAGCATTTATCAATGAAAGCAGTTATGGAATTGTAAGGGAAGTTGTTAGATTACATATATTTGGTATTTTAAAACATCGGCAGCTCACCATCTGTGACAATGATCTCAAAGTCCTTGTACGAGTTTTGAATCCAAGATTTGTCCAGACCGCACCGGTACCATCCTGAGTCAGACTTTGTCAGCTGTGTGATGTTCACAAGCAGAACAGGATGAGACAGCAAATGTTTTTTCCTATATTCAATGCTGTATCTGCCATTTTCAGCTCTGTCAGTGGTTGTATTGACGAGAATGAGGTCTTCACATTTTTGCTTGCAGAAGTACTTCCTGCTTCCAGAGAAAGTGAAGAAGCATTTAACCGTAATATTTGCTCCTTCAGTTTTATAGATGTGATGTCCTTCAGCATTGACGAGACCGGGGCTTCCGCCTTGCAGGGCTGTTGAAAAAATAAACAATTACAGATATATTTGCACAGACCCAAATAAATCACTCTGTGAGCTGCACAGTACAGTCACAGCACAACAGTGATTGGATCTGTGTATACTGTAAAAAGTACTGAACTGATTCCGCAATAATTAAAGATGTGTAAAGTGAACACCAGGGCAAGTTCAAAAGATGACATTTATTTATACTTTATAGAATTATCGTCCACCGAGGTGGAAAATCACACCAAGACATAATTGAGATACAAAACACGACATAGCCCAAAAAAATAGTAACTGCGACTTAAAAACAGGTTACTATAAAACATGAACTTGGATTATGTACATGAAAAATGCAGTTTTATGCCCTCGTGAAGCAGTCAAATTCCACTTAGAGTTTACATCAATGTCTGTTCACAACAAGTGACTTTGACCTTTAACCACCAAAAATTTAATTGGTTTCAGTCCAAGTGGACATTTGTGCCAAAGTTGAAGAAATTCCCTTGAGGTGTTCTTGAGATATCGTGCTCACAAGGATGGGACGGACAAACGTATGTACAACCCGAAAAACATCATGCCTCCAACCACGGCTATCGCTGGCATGGAGACATAAAACCAGAATATATTTGCATATCGGAACAGCTGAAAGTTTCTGGTTTCCCTGAAAAACAGAAAATTGAGATGCTGTTGAAACCTCCAGAAAACGTTAGTTGATAAACCTGCTGTTATAACTGGGGATGTCCCCATCTGATCCCATAGATCTGTCAGCGAGTGCAGTTATCGCCATCTCTCTGCTCTCTCTCTCTCCACAGAGCTCCTGTGTGTGTGCTGAGCCCTGCCTATGACGAAGTGCCACACACCATGAACGAACATGCAGTATGCAACTGTTTATTTAAGTCATTTATCAAAGTTATGTGAACTTGTTTTTCTTATATTAGCTCAGTGTGAGAGTCTCTGGAGTTGTGTTGTCATCTATGGCGCACGGTGTTTCACTGCTCTGCTTGGAGGAGAGACAGACAGCGACACAACCACGCCACTCAAGTGCAACAAAGGCTGTGAACCTTATCTGTGCAAAAGATGTACGGATGAGTAAAGTTAACGCTCAGTGGAACAAAGTTCATTCTAACTGAGACACAGGCTGCAGCGAATCAGCACTGAAAAATACTCTCCAGTGACTATTTTAGATTCAGTCTTGAGATTAAAATGTTTATTAGTTTTAATGCCATTTTACTCATTTTTATCCTTCATAGTTTTAGTCAACAAAACTTAATGACATCATGGAGAACCTTCAGTCAAGATGACAGGTTGTATAAAATGATGTGTGTGTCATGTCTCCAGCAGTGTGTGACAGGTTTAAGGGCTGATTTACGAGCACACACTTACTGATCATCATCTGAAAAGCTCAACATCTCTCTATTTATGCTCTCAACAAATAACTAATGTGAGCCAACTAGGATTTGTCCCCAGGTTCATTGTAAACTCTGACTTATCCATGTGACTGTTAAGAAGCAGAAACATAACTTGTTTCTTCATGTGCAACATGTTAGTCTGGAGGTTTAAACTGGTGTCCTCTCACAGAGTTGGTCAGACACACATTGCTGATTATTTCCTGCTGAATTACAGGCTATTCAACTGTCAAGCAGAGGCGATGGATTTGATAGAACTGAGTGAATTAAACGTGATTTGAAAGAACAAACACGTGAGCACACTCAAATAGAAAAAAATGAATGAGGTGCACGGCCACAAAAAACTAGATAATAACAAAGGAGACCAGCGCTCACAAATGTCCTTTTAAAGGTCTTTTAATGTCGGCAGCAGAGCAAAAAACAGAGTGCTGGCCTCCTTTGATATTTTCTGAATTAAAAGTGATTTCAAAATGCCTGATGAAGATCTGATGTAAGATCGAAACGCTATCTATTAAAACTACTGGGAGCTTTTAACGCAGAGTGCAGATCTCCTGCCTGGTTCTTAATAAGGTAACAGTAAATGACTGTACTCACAGAGGAAGAAGAAGCAGATCAAAGTGTGACAGAGTTTCATCTTGAGGCACTGATGGTTTAACGCTGTCTCACTCTCTTCTTCACTGACAAACCAGGAACTTCTCACTTCTCTAAATGATGGAGTCCCTCCTCTGAACACAACCCAGCTCTGCCTCCTCCTCTCTCCATCACCTGCAGGTGTGTGTGTGGTGGTTTCACACTGAAACTGTAACTGGCTTTAAGTTAAAGTGGTTTAATTATCAGACATAGATCTCTTTGACAATCTTTTTGATATTCAGTCCAGTATAACCTGATGTTTCAAGACAAGAATGCACATTTAAAACACATCTATAAAAAGAAGATGACAAAATATTTTCTCCAAGATAAGAACTTTATTAATCTTGAAGGGAAATTGTTGTGCAGCAGTTGCAATGCAAGGTAGAAAAAAAGTGCACATATACAGTTTAGAGTGCAAATATAAAATACTATTTAAAAAACAACATTAGCAATGAGGTGCAAATCCAAATATACACAACACCCAAACTCAGACAGGTTAATGGTAGGCACTATACTAAAGCAGTGGTTCCCAACATTTTGCTTTAAGGGACCTCTTTTCTATCATTAGTAAACTGATGACGCCTCACTAAGGGATGTGATTTATAGATATTTCATGTTACATTCAATGCATAACAATCACAGAACGGACCAACTGATAAACTGTACAATTAACCCCTAACTGCAGGAAGTTGAAATGAGCACAGAGCTAACTGACCGCAGCATCATGCAGCTTCAGGGTGTGATTATAGACGGCATTCCAGCATCATGCAATCAAAAGAGTGCAGTGTCGACCTCTAGCGTGACATATAACATTCAGTCAGGAGCGCTTTATAAACAATAACAATGACATAACATAGCAACAATGATATACTGTCCCTGTTATATGGCTGCTGATCCCGTCCTCTGCTCGGGGCTCGAAGGATAAGGAGCTCCTGGACCTCATTGTTTTTCCAGCCACTGCTCTTCTTTGAGTTAGCTGCTAACTGCTAACAGCTACTTTTAAAATCTCCCACAGTGGTTCTCACACAAAACAAAACATCACACCTGTGTCTACCATGATCCCGTCCCGTTTATACAGACATCATTTCAGCGCTGTTACTACCTCGGCTCCCGGCTCAGAGGGGAGACAATGATGACCTCCCGTTCTGTGATCGCACCTAACACACAGCACAGCGAGGCGGAATAATTGCGTGATATTCCCACCACGAACAGGCAGTGTAAAACAGGTTTGAGATGAGTTTTCCTTTTTAGAAACTTTTATCATGATTCTCTGTCTGCATTATGTCATTTTTTAATGATTTTTATCAATCAAACATACTTAATAGGAATTTTTTTTTTGGACAAATTCTGAGTTTTCTTCCCCCGATGCTTCACAATTGTTCTATTAGCTCTCTGGCTGTTTTAAGTGCGTCCCTTTCTAATGCAGAGTGAGGGCTCTGTTAATACAGCTTGTGGTCAGGTCTTAATCATGCGCTGATCCTCTGAGGCTGTTTTTAAGGTGCAGCTCTGGACAAAGATAGCTGATTGTTGAGTCTTATTCTCAGGTTGTCAAATACCGACACTTTGAGTTGTTGGTTCGCTCCGAATGACAAACATCAGTATTTGCATCAGTATTTGAATGCATATTATGAATGATATCATGAATGCACAGGGAAATAGGAGCGAGTGAATCGTCGTCACTTAGAGATGAGATGGCAAAGATGCAAGAACCGATTAATCGTGCAGCCCGACCACAGAGTATATGTGACAATATATGAACGTAGATTAATTTAGGTCAACTAAAAATAAGCTTGTAAAATGTTACAAATACCAGGTGGACTATTTAAATAAAGTGTTATCTCAAACATGAATTTTTTTGTCTAACCCTAAATAACTTACTGTGGTTATGATACTTTAATAACGTTGCAATAACTTATTATAAAATGAACTCCATAAAACACTGAAGTAGTAAAAGTATCTCTAGCTTGAAGCAGATTGTTGAGGCAGTACATCTGTGGTGATGTCACTGAGGACAGAACTAGAACTTCTCATCACATGAACAGGTCACGTCACACAGAGAGACGTGAATGTTTCAGATTATTTACAGTCACTTAATCTTAACCATCTGTCGGTTGCAGGTTGGGAGAAGAAATGCAGCAGCGTTGGAGCAGTGGAATACACTGACAGATGATCTTCAGCACGGCTGGCTTCAGAGCTCGTTTACACCCGAGGAACTGAGTAGATAACGGTATCGCTGTCACCACAGAGGGCGCTGCTGGATGAGCCGACGGCCTGGTTGGAAAAATTCAACTCCGAATATGTGAGTCTACTCGAATCGTCTTCAGCCTGGAAAAAGAAAACAAGAAGAAGTCAAAGTGTCGAAGGACTGTTTGATTCTCACATAGTGCCTGTCAGATGCAGCTGTGTTCCAGCTGCACTACAGCTTTGTCACTTGTGTGTCTCTGCTATAGTTTTATGATCACAATAAAAACACATCTGCAGGTCACTTATGATCAATGTGGTCAATGGCGGATTGGCCATCGGGACGTTTGGGACGAATCCAAATGGGTTGGTCACCAAGTGGGCCGGTGGGACTAGTGAATATCAAGCTAGTTGCTAGCTGACAGTACTGCAATGTGCGTCCCTCCCATGTTGTTTGTTTGCTGTGAGATGTTCAGAGGGAACGTAGGTGTCAATCTTTTGTTTTGATGCTTGAAGGAGGAGATAAGAGCAGCCTCCTCCAATACGAAAGAGGCTCTCATTTTTCTTGAAATCTGATTGGCTCAGCCGCCGTCATCAGTCATTACTCATGGCAGACCAGGCTAGTTTGCTCGTTAGTGGTAGCTACTGAGAAAGGAGAAAGAAACATGGATAAAGCCGATAAAAAAGAAAGGGTGGTGTGGAAAAACCTCGAATAAAAAAATGTAAATCTTTACAAGAAGAGGCAGCAAAGTGCTCCAAGATAACCGACCTGTTTGGCCGCGACGTTGGTCGATGGAGATGGAGCTGGAGCCGACAGTGCCATTACAGCAGGTGTGTAAACGTTAGCTTACGTTCGTGAGTGTGTAATGTGGAAGGTTGGCTTTGGCAAATTGCATATTTCTTCTAGGTGTCTGTTTCAAGAGGCCTTCTAGCCTACTAGGTATTGCATTAAGTCATTATAATTTAAACCTGTACTAAAGAAAATATGTGCTTGCTTTTTTCCTGTGGATGCATCATGCAGTTAACGTGAGGTGGTGCTCCCAGTCCCAAGGACCATGAAGCTGAGGGACAGACTAACACCAGTCGTGATGAGGAGGAGGATGAGACCAGAAATATGACAGGTGCAAGTGGGATTATTTTTGTTGCAGTAATAAGTTGACTAAAAGTTGACTATAGGGCCTATTGCCCAATTTATACCTCCTTAGTTCATGGCTGTGAGCCATGGAGATGTAAACTGGGCTGGGCAGCCGACTTAAATAATTTCATAAGCTACAAACCACGTCAACAAGCGTGTTCCAGCTGTGTGCATCACCTTTTAGTGTCCCCGGGAAACTGTTTCTGTTGTGTTGTTGCATTTTCTCTATATGTTCTATACGTTTTGTGTCTGCGTGCATGTGTTTTCTTAAACTGCAGTTCATTGTTTGTTACAGAGCTGCCACAAGTACAGCTGCTTGTTTGTCTCTGACATCACAAACTAATAAACATTATCATCCATCCTTTGGTTGGGTGATTTTTCATATTTAGACTTTTAAGATATTTGAGTCAAACATTGTTCAAACTAACAGCCTGTGCAAGGGGTCAGGCTGACACAGCCTAAGGTTTTCTGAGCTCACAGCTCAAATAATATGATCTGTTTTCCTTACTGTATTTTGAGAACGAGCTGCAGCGACAGTGCTGAAGTCATCGTTGGTTCCAGCTCTCTTCGGTTTGCTATACATGGCGTAAGTGTGAATTGAAGAGCTGTCCACAGGAGGAGATCTGCTCTGTCTGTCCTCTCTGAAGTTCTCATACACTCGGTTGGTCTACAGGAGGGGAGAGGTTTGGTTTAAATCAATATCAGCTGGTTTCACAAACACTGGTGATGCTCAGATTTGCTCAATCTCACCTCTGTTTCCACAGGAGTGTCTGAAAAACACAACAGTGAGTTTAGAAAATGACACAACACTGATGAAACATCTGCTCTAGTCTGATGGAAACATTACACATGAACACATGAACAGATTCTGGCATAAACTGTACATGGTGGTTCTGTATCAGAAGTTAATTTTAAATAAAACCTTTTTTTTTCTGTGAGAAATGGGAAGTTGCAGTGGTGTGGCCTGTGTGTGTGTGTGTGTTTCCTGTTGCCTCACCTTTGGCCTTAGAGGTCCTCTTCCTGTAAATTATCAGCACAGACAGTGATATTATCACCATGACGAGCAGAGTCAGACCCACGTACAGCAGCACATCTGTAGTCGTTTGAAGAGAACAAGTTTGTTTCACACTGACACTGACAGATACTTAAACTCTGGGTCAGTAACTATGGTAACTGACTCTGTGAACCGAACCTGCTCGTTGGCAGGTTTTCTTCAGCAAACCCTGAGTTTCTGACAGAGCCAGGCATGCCGTTTCATTTCCTCAGTGATTCAGACATATATATATTTCTGTATTTTCTATGAAATGGGTGACATGTTCAGCCGCAAGTCAGAGCCACATTTGACACATTTGGCCACAAGTGTTATGAGCACTTTTATAAAAAACAGACTGTGATCAAAACAAAATACAGAGACAGGGATACGTCCCCTGAAACATGGTATAAACTCAAAGGCAGAGCTGTACGCTAACTTAAATGCTCCAAATGTTATTATCAGTGTCTGACAACATTATAGAAATGACCTAATAGAGACAGGGAGCTGGGATTACTTAATACCCTGGTATAGAGACAGAGTGCAACGCGTCATAATCTGAAAGCCACGCCCCCAAAGGGGAAACAAGGCCCGCTTTCCCCTCACACTTTCCCCTCCGTTTCCAGCCTGTTGAGTTTTCCCTAAGTCCAAATGCCGAAAAGTTGCTGTGTGGTGGGCTGCACGGCCAAATGTATTTGTTAGAGTAACAGTTAACTGTATTTATGTATGTGAAGCTAAAGCATTGACAGTATGAATGCAACTTCTCTTATAATTGAGCCCAGCGCTCCACGATTCAAGCAGTTCATTCCAGCGGTCCGCTCTAGCACTTGTATCAATCTACCAGCATGTAGAGGCATGTCTCAAAACAACACCATGTGCTGGTAGTAGGAGCAGGCTGACGGCTGAGCATGCCCAAATGCTCATCTTCTTAAAAAGAATCTCCACATCATGTTTTTTCCAAGACGAGCAAGGTAAGGAGAAGGGACACTGAGGTAGACCGGCAGTATTAAGTTTATCAATATACGTTGCCTCTCTGGTAGGCATAGTGTGCTAAAATAATCCTTTGCCATCTTATTATTAGCTAATTATTAGCTAGCTGTAGCTAATAATGTTAGCTAGCTAGCTAGCAATTCAGATGTGGAGACTTGAAGGCGCGGCTGCGGAGGCAGAATGACAGTGAACGAGTGAAGAAGTGGAGGGGAAAGTGGGCCTCGTTTCTCCTTTGGGGGGCGTGGCTTTCAGATTATGAGGCTCTATACTGTTATACTGTGATCCCTCCCAAGCCTATAGATGTACCTCTAGTTGTCTCAGTGTATGGAGTTGTGGAGCCTTCTGAACTGGAACTTAAATTCTGTGTTGTTGTTGGTGTGAAGGTTGATGGGACTGCCGATGAAAACACAGGGAAATTCAGGTCTGGTGTAGAAGTGGTCGGGGCTGTGAACAACAAAAAGTTGCAGACACAAAGAAGTCCTTATTAGAGAAATGAGATTCTCCTGTGTGTCTGTTACTAAAGTTAACTTTGACCATCAGTTTAGTTTTTATATGACAGACACTTTTAGTAACGAGTGGATCTTCAAGTGTTTAAAAATATACATTAATCGTTCTGTGGACGATAAACCAGGTGCAGACTTCCATCTGTGTCACCGCTGATGAGGAAATACAGCGAGTGCTGGACGGAGCAGTGAGTGACAACAACCCCGCCCACATTTAAGAGGACTGTCTGAACATACCGAGGGTCTAGGTACCATGTCTGAAGGGTTACTGCTGGTTCCAAAGGTGCTGGACTGAAAGGGTTTGGTGGAAACAGGGCTATATATATAGACTACTTCCAGCCTAGACAGACAACTTGTTTGTTTCTGCTGTAAAGCTGGGTATTTTAACATGAAGGACTAAAAGGATTGACTGTGTTTTGGAGCCATCCTCAAGTGGTCATTCAATGAACTGCAAGTTCTGGCACTCCTAGTCTTCATTTTCCAGCCCCGGAGGCTGACACTTGTTTTTAGCAGATGCCTTTTACAAGAGCGATAAACATACAAGTGCAGTGAGGTAAGTACGTTTTTGAGATCTCAAACAGCACCATGACGGCAGAGTATGATACAGTGCAAAACAGTAGAAGAGAAAGAGAAGCAGAGTAATTAAATACATATTTAAAATACATTTAATTGAAATACTGTGCATCTCTGCTCAAGTGGAAACTCACCATCTGTGACACTGATCCTAAACCACTGACGCTGAGATTTGTCCAGACCGCACACATATCGTCCTGAGTCAGACTTGGTCAGCTGACTGATGTTCACATACAGAAATCCTCCTGATGAAAATCCTTTTACATATCTGATGCTGTATCTGTCTTTCTCAGCTTCAAAATCAGTTGTTTCAACAAGAACGTCTTCTTTTTTACATTCTTCCTTGCAGAAGTACTTCCTGTTCCCAGAGCGAGGGAAGGAACATTCCACAACAATGTTTCCTCCAGTTCTTGTATGGAGGGTTTGTTCTTCAGAAGAATCTCCAGTCAGCAGTGCTGTTAACAGTATGAGCAGTGGTTATTATCTCTACTCTCAGGGCGCTTTCACACCTGCAGTTCAGTTCATTTGGTCAAACCAGAAGGAAAAATGATTGTTGCATTCAACAATTTGATTTGGTTCCTGTTCACACTGACCTTTGCAAACAAATCAAGAGGAGTAAACAGGAAGTTCTACTGTCTGACAGGTGACTGGTTGATTGGACAGTTTTGGCGTTTGTCATCCTGCACCATCAGGACCCACATGGGGAAATCAAATTCTGGTGACTGACAGAAGTTTGTGCAGCAGCTGTGTTCACACCTGCCCAAACAAACCGCACTGAGGGGGCAAATGAACTTGAGTCCGACTGAACCAAACTAAACAGGGCAGGTGTGAAAGCACCTTGAGATTAACAGCTTTCACACCTGCCCAAACGAACCGTACTAACCACACAAACAGACCTGAGTTCACTTGGTGGTGTGAAAGCACCCTAAGATGACATTGTCTTATAACAATAATTACGGTTTTTGATTTTAGTCCCAGTCACACTGGGAGCTGTCCAGTTCAACCAGTCTGTGGCTGTAAGAGTTTCACACAAACAATTCAATATATGATCTGATCATCTGCACACAATCTCACTTGATTCTGTTTGATTAATGATTCTGACACTCAAAGAGAACCACCAGTTTGCAAGTGTAAATTATGAAACATAAATAACTGAGAAATATTTAATACTAATTGAATATTTTTGGGGGGGACTGTCAGTGTTAACAACACACACACACTCACACACACACACACACACACACACACACTTTCATGGCTTTTAGTAGAAACTCACCATCTATAACAATGATTTCAATATAGTTGTATGATGACGTAAATCTGGTCCAGCCACACCTGTACTGTCCTGAGTCAGACTTTTTCAGCTGTGAGATGGTCACAAAATATTGTACAGTTCTTCCTTCTGTCCTCCATTTAATGCTGTATCTGCCTTTCTGAACAGTGAAAGCAGTTGTTTCAATGAGAATGTCATCTTGTTTACATTCTTCCTTACAGAAGAACTTCCTGATGACCAAATTAGGAAAAGAGCAATCAACTGCTATATCGTTTCCTTCAGTTCCTGAATAGACAATGGTTTGGGCGTTGATGAGACCAGTGTTTCCATCCTGCAGAGCTGTTGGAAAGATGGACAATCAGTAGTTAGTGCCTTTACTTCCTGGTCACAGTGCTCTCTTCTTCACATTAAAAGAGAACCCCACCTAAAATAAGAATTCCATTATGTTATTGCCATGGTCTGGAAAGGTTCAATCAGTATCAGTGAACATGAGCTGCTCTCTCTCAAAGCCAGAAACCAGAGAAGTCTCAAATCTGTGATGTCATCAAGTATGCAGTCTGGAGCTGCTCCAAAGGCAGGGACCCTCATTTATGAAACTAACATCTGACAGAAAACTCGACATTTATCCATGTGGATGTGAGCGGAGGCTACAATCAAATCTCACGTCAGTCACATACCTGTGTTCACGTGTCTTTAGCATGTAACAAAAGCCTTTGTTTTCAGCAGCGCTGTGTGGACGCAGATCTTTGCACATGAAGTACGTGATGTACTGTGTTATTTTCTGAGCTCTCTCACAGTTGGTAGTTTTGTGTGTCTGGTGTTGGTTGATTTTTCAGCCGAGTGGGTTTAGTTTTAGGTTGGCCGTCAGCAGCTAACACTATCTCTGGATGGTGGAGTGTGAGGTGAGCCCTCAAAGTTTCGACATCCCATTGGTCTAATCATATTAAACCCATTGTTCCGAAATCTCAATGTTGCAATGCTGTGATGTTAAATTCAGACAAAACTGAAGTTATTGTTCTTGGCCCCAAACAACTCAGAGATTCTTTATCTGTTGACATAGTTTCTCTAGATGGCATTGCTCTGGCCTCTAGCACTACCGTAAGAAACCTCGGAGTAACATTTGATCAAGATTTGTCTTTTAATTCTCATTTAAAACAAACTTCACGGGCTGCATTTTTTCATCTGCGTAATATTGTTAAAATTAGGCCTATCCTGACCCGAAAAGATGCAGAAAAATTGGTCCACGCTTTTGTTACCTCAAGGCTGGATTACTGTAACTCTCTATTATCAGGTAGTTCTAGTAAGTCCTTAAAAACTCTCCAGCTTCTCCAGACTTTAGGGACCACAAGTAACCCTGCGTTCTCAGAGCGCAGTGTTCTGGTGGGATAATATGGCACTATGAGCTCTCTAAGATATGACGGAGCTTGACCATTTAGAGCTTTATAAGTTAACAGTAGGATTTTAAATTCAATTCTGGATTTTACAGGGAGCCAGTGCAGAGAAGCTAAAACAGGAGAAATATGATCTTGTTTCTTAGTTCCTGTTAGTACACGTGCTGCTGCATTCTGAATTAGAATTGATGTGTTCTGTACGACATCTATTGCACGTCTGTCCGTCCTGGAAGAGGGATCCCTCCTCAGTTGCTCTTCCTGAGGTTTCTAAAGGTTTTTTTTGGGGAGTTTTTCCTGATCAGCTGTGAGGGTCATAAGGACAGAGGGATGTCGTATGCTGTAAAGCCCTGTGAGGCAAATTGTGATTTGTGATATTGGGCTTTATAAATAAAATTGATTGATTGATTGATTGATTGATTGATTGAATGCAAAAAGTTGAAAAAGCAAGCAGCAAGAGACCGTGTTGTTGTGTTGTTTACTGTTGCCATGAGGACAACGGTCGCCCTGTTTTGAGGAAGTAGAAACGATGTTGAAAGTTATAATTTTAACCCAAACCATAACCATTTTAATATGGTTGGAACAATGGGATGTCGAAACATTGAGATTTCAGAACAATGGGATGTTGGAATTATGAGCGGACCCCTAATAAGTGACTGATTCCTTGTTATTTAGAGCAAATGAACCGTCTATCAGAGTGGACAGTCTTTACTCTCAGAGACACAAAAATAGATCATTTTATTCATTTATTTAAGCGTTTATTTGGAAGGGACAATGCATATTGATGAACATCAGTATAATACATCTGTAAATATGCTGGAGTTAGCAGAACTGCTAATTTACATCCGTTGTCCCTTGGCAGGTCACAGACGATTGAAAAAACAAAAACAGTAATTAAAACAAACAGTCCAAATAGTTCAGAAACAGACAAACAATATATTCATACATGGAAGTAAAGTGCAGAGTTAGTAGTAATGCCATACAGTGCTATTTAAAGTGTGTTGATGGAATAAAGTGCTTTGATCGAATAAAGTGCATTTTATAAGCATAGCACTATGAAATACTGAAATAAACAAACTGTCTGATTTGTGGGTAAATTACTTGAGCAGAGCTGTCTGAGGGCGCAAAATAAATTTCACTGTCAACTGATGATAAAGTTGGACCTTAAACTAAAAATAGAGTTGAGACATATTTTAAATGTTGCACATAAAGAGTCCAGACTTCAGCCACAAACCACAAGCTCAGACTGATTTTCAACATCATCTTCTGTTCCACTCTTTCTTATCAGATCAAAGAACTGACTGAACTTCTGTCTGTCTACAGCTTTTGTTGTTGGATAAACATGTAAACAACATTTTATGAAAAATAATTTCATTGTATATGAAGCCATTTAATTCAGCCAAACTTTTCATTTTCTGCAGTTTTATTTTGTCCTTTCTGCTGTGACAGTGTTTCGGGAACCTGCACTTCAGCAACACATTATTTCCACACCGCTGTTTCAAAATGCTGCAGCTTCATTTTGACTATGACTCAAAGGTTTCTGTTTGTCTGTGGGTGTCAGATCTTGTTTTTTTAACGACATACAGCAGGTAATTTTGAATTTATGATGCTACAACAACCTCCATTAACAGTCAGGTTGAAGCGACAGAACACATAAACTGTCGTCCTGAAAATGGCATTTAGTGATTTTGAAAAACGAGAGCGGCAACACTTAACAAACTTAACGACATTCACAACTGATTCATCATTTTAGTGATTCAAGCAAAGACCCCAAACATTTTCTGATTCCAGCCTCTCAAATGTCTGGTTTTAAAACTGATACTGAGCTGAACATTTTGGGGTTTTGGACTCATGGTGGAATAAAACACGCTGATGAAATAGATCATCTTGGGCTCCAGTAAATCCTGACACCCATTTTTCGCAATTCTCTGACATTTCAATGCGGAAAATGACTAATGGGAGAATCAAGAAAATAATCTGCAAATGAATCGATCATTAGTTACAAACCTAAAAACGAGCATGTAATAAAGATAAAGAAGAAACATGATGATAGCTGCAGACTGCTGGCACAGAGAAAACTTGTTTATTAAGTTGTTCTTGGCTGTATATTCAGTTAGTCAATAAACTGGTAATAACTGTGCTCGCTGTTTTCCTAGTAAAAAGTTTGTGTGGATATTAAACGCACTAATAATACACTATTTTAAAGCATTTTTTTAAGCCGGTCCTAAAACAATACTCACATGCTCAAATGTACATTGAAATATTTTTTGTTCCTCTGTCTACTGGCCACATACAGATCGCTTATTAGAGCTTTTTCTCCAAAATAAATCTAAATCAACAGCCCTCATTCTGTGTCAAAACATATTCTAAGTTCATGTGAGGCTTCACCTCTCTACCAAAGGTACTGTCCCCACACCGTGCCTCAGCAAACATACATGTACAAACGCTCAATAAAGAAACCAATACCAAAAGAGAGACAGAAATGTACTCACAGAGGAAGAAGAAGCAGATGAAAGCATGATGAACTTTCATGTTGAGACTCAAACAATTTAATGCTGTTTCTTTTTCTTCTTCAGTGGTAAACAAGGAACTCCTTACTTCCTTAAAATGATGGAGTCCTTCCTCCAAACACAACACACACACACGCCTCCTCTTTCCATCAGTCAGGGTCTGAGCCTACCTGTACATTTATAATGATTTTCACACTGTCTCGTCTACTCATTACAGGGGGTGGGGGAAAAAATTACAGCATAATATTGCAATGTTTTTGTGTGGCAATATCGTATCATCACAC